ATATGTCGTAAAGAACATGGCCTTTTGAGATTCTCATAAGAAGAGGAAAAGGGAATTTGTGTTTCTGATAAGACAGGAGACCTGAATTCTAATTGACCTCTCATGTTCTTAAGTTTCATGGGGTTGAAACTCATGTCAACAAAGAACCCATGTCTTATGGCAATGATATTCATCTCTTGGATTTTACAAAAGATCCAAATAATTTTTTTACAAAAAAATGCAGAGACAAGTGAGATGACAACAAAGTAGCTATGGATCCTTTCATTAGAGGGGAAAAGTCTAGTTAAAAATTTGGGGAAGATATGACCGTTTTGTTTTTTTTTTAGCGTTACCGTTTTGCTTTTTTGGGGACCATTGGATGTCTTCACCACAATAGCTATGCAATTTTAAAGCATTTCCTTCCATTATATTGGTGCCTAAAGGGAAAAAAGATTGTTAATCTTGTCAAGATAATAGACCTTTCATCTCTCTCTTTCTATCGTACAATGATGTCATACTACTAAAATTAAACAAAAATTTAATTTCATGATGTAAAAGTTCTAAATTTAGATAATAGTCAAATTTAGTTCTACATTAGTTGCTAATTTAATTTTAGTCAAATTTAGTTGTCCACCCTTACACCTATTAATTTTACTTGACCAATTCAACGAATGTTATTAAGAAGTCAACTCACTAAAATTAGTCAAGGTGATGTTTTCATGATGTCAACCTCCAAACTAGCGAAGAAGATAATGTTAGTGATCGTTGCTTTTGTATTACTCTCACAATTAACATCGAGGAAAATTACCTCATGGTCTGCATTATCATACATTCAATATTGCTTGGCATACTATTTATCAATTAGCGTTGATAAAATTTAACTTCGTTTCATACTACTGTCGTTTAGTTCTCAAAAAATTATATTTCTGCGATATCTGCCATAAAAGTTTGCTAAAAGTTAATTTTCCATGTTGTTAATTTAGTTATAGAGAAAAACTTTGATTTGCCCAATAATGTTCATTTAATTATATATTACTCAAACAAGCATGAAACTTATGCATAGGTCAAATCAGATATGTAATTATTGGGATAATTGTTCGAGACTCGAACAAAGAAATTTTGGTTTCCTATCTTACACCCCCCGGCTCTCTCTCTCCATCGGATTTTTGGGATATTTCACCATGGTTTCAAAGAGTTTAGTGATGATTTATGTTATTTCCTTCTTTGTTTCTTTACATGGATGTTTATTGTACTTTGAAAATATTCAACACTATATTAGTAACGGTCAAGGAAATAAAATATTTAATCAATAATGTGCATAGCACATGACTTGTATTTATAATCATTATCCATTTACCATTCTTTTGGAGGGGCAAATGAGCCTCATTACCTGATTCTTCCCACATTTTTTGAAGCCTTTTAAGTTAAGACTAATCATCTATTTTTGGAAAGATAAATGGAGATTGACATAGGCCTCATTTTCAGGCTCTCTTTTTTCGGAAGAAGAAAGGTGTCATGGCACCGCATTATTCATGAGGTGCACTTAACTTTGATTGTTTACTGGGGTTGGTTCATGCCAACACTGTCTTCCGGCAGGATTTTGTGGTGCACGTAACTTGGACGGTTTAAAGGGGGCGCTTTATATAAACCATACCTTTTTTTATATCCATTCGTCTAATGATGAAATTTAAATCCCCCATTTATCCATCTTGCTGGAATTTGTGATCAATGGCCATGTCAACGATGGACAATCTCTTGACCTAAATGATTTCAGCAAAAATAGTGCATTGCACACTAAAGCCAACCAAGCCATGACCATTTTCATATACTCCAAAGGGGCATCCACAATTTCAAGACCAACTGTGATGTACATGAATGACACGTATGGCCCAAAATGGTTAACCTCCACCGTTCACCATCGAGCAGAGGATGCCCTAGGAGTAAGATATATAATAATCTGTTCAATAGCAGAAAACTAGCCTTTGTGAAAAATGCAGCAAAACAAGGTTCAGACTGCAGAAAATGCCCCTTAAATCAGTCCCCTCTCTCTCTCTCAAAACAAGATTCAGAGTGCAGAAAATGCACCCCTCTTGCTATCTCATAAGAAAGAATGTGACGACATTTTATGGAAGACACAAATCACCAGCAATTGCCTTTCACATCATTCACGTCTCCTAAATGGGTAGAGATAGTCTTACATTGCTGCAGTTCATGGATAGTCTTTCGGCTCCAGACCTTATGACTGAACAGTAGAATTTCTTCTCTCACACAACTCACATTCAAGGTTTGGTACATGAAGCTCATCAAAAGACGGGAGAAATGACTTGAGATGTCCATAACAAGCCAAAAGAATGTCAAGATGGTTGGTTTGGTAATATAGAGGACACAGAAGATACGATTTCAGTTACAATACCCAGTGCATTACAAACTGAAATAGTAGATAAGATGATATGATTTGCCCATTCCCTGTGAAAGATGTCTCTCTCTATCCTCACTTCTCATCTTCCTTTGGAGGTTCATCTTCCTTCTTTTCCTGAATCATGAAATTAACCAAAAACAAATTACACATACAGAAACAAAATTCATGATCTCCTACTTGCACAAGACAATATCTTTGCAAACATTTCTTTTTGGAGATGAGCAGCAATTTAACATGATGATTTCGTAGCACAATAGACAAACTTATCAAACAAAAAAATAACAGCCATACAGTTAGTAAATGAATAGGAAAAACACAGGGAATGAGTGTCTCCATGCACGTTGAGTAATGCATTTGGAAATTCGGTACATCCCTTTGGCAGAACAACCAAGATGTCTACAGAACCTCGCTTTGGATGGATGCAATATTTTATCAAAGATGATATCCATAACACAATATGCATGAGCTATCATAAAAAACTAACAGCCATAAAAAGAAAAAAAGCGAAGAAAAAAACATGAATGCGGGTGTGCTTCATGTTAAGTGGTGCATTTGAAAATTCTCATGTCAACCCCAACAACCACCATCATCTTCTCCACCATAACAAGGAAGTGGGCAAAAAGGTATTAGACTTGTACAAGCATGGGACTTCAAATCTGTCATCCTTTCCATAGCTCAGTTTCCAGCATAACTGAAGTTTCCAGGGGTCTGTCAATATGAATCACAAAAGCACTTAAACCATGTAAGGCGCTTGAAAGTCAATTGATTTGATTCAATTCCCAAGTTTTTTAAAACTATCTAAACTACCAACAGTCTGAATTATTTCTTTCTTGTTCTCGGAATTGTGTGAGTAAGTTCTCTCAGTCAATATCCAAGCAAGCTCCACACAATGAACAGCACATCTTTAAAAAACATTTCCTCAGGAACTCAAAACAGGAGAGTGGCAATTAGAAGCATCCACAGAATTGCTAGATCTCCATTATTGAGAATAAGAAGTAATAGATGAGGCAGATGCACAAAAAAGGCCTCTAATAAATATAATAAACACAAAAAAACAGCTCTTCTAGATCAAATATCTTTTCTACAAACTACCTATCTACGATGGATGCACTATAGAATATGATAAGTACTTTTCTAAGAATACCATTTATAGGTTTCAGGACTTAAATTAAAAGATCCACTACAAAGAGAAACAAAATGTATTGAACGTTACAGTGCATAGGCATACATCATACACTGAACGAATACTTCTTTGTATAGAAGCATCTTTAAAAATTGAAATTGAAGAAATGCTAGCAACATGATGTCAACACAAAATCATCACTAAATTGCATTCCAATGGCATACCTATTCTGAAAACACAAATAGAAAACCACTCTGTGAGTTATGCATAGAATAACCACAATCTTAGGCTCCTAAGCAAACCATCATCATAGACCAACAAGGTTTTCAGCACCCAACTAAGGTCAGTGAGAAGCCCTTGATCTACACAGTACTCACCTCTGTTTGACCTTGCAAAGATGCCAATAAGTCCTTGACTGAAGGATCATTGGGATCAACTCCAGGAAGCTGCAAGAGAAACATCGGATGAGTATATGCAGCGGTGCAAGTAATAAATGTATGTTTCTATAATCGTTGAAATATGGGGAAGTTTATACCGATTTAAGAATAGAAGACACAAAAGTTTGATCTCCCAACACTTTGCTCATGTCAGTTTGAGAAGAAGAATCTTTTGCAGTATCCTGCACAGACATTTGAAGAGCTGCACCAGCAACACACGGAAGAAGATTAGTCTATGTATATGACTAAAATATATAATAAGAGATGTGCCAGCTGCAACAAGGCAAGATGGTCAAAAAGATTATACATTTATCTCCTTAGAAAAATTAAAAGAAAGCAACTTGAACCACACAAGGACCATTATTTGATAGATCCTGAAATGTACAATAAGCAACTCTTAAATAGAGCATCTCGTCGAATTTGGGGGAGCAAAGCAAACAAAAAACATGAGGACAATTCGATGTTGGCGAAATATTCTATAGCAAGAAAGGAACATGGAGACCTATCAGTAGCCAGACAGGGTCATTCATAAAAGCAGTAAACTAGTATCAATTTTCTTTTTCTTTTTTGGCAATGATTGACTTTACATTGATGGAAAAGAGCATTTACAAAATTGCGAGTAAGAAACTCAATCCCCAAACATGCTGAATGACAAAACTCAAAAAACAGTAGTATATAGAAATATAAAAAGAACGAAAAATTCCTTTCAGGCTGAACACTTATTAATCCTTTCCTAGGGCATCATCAGCCACGATGGCCCCTCCATGTGTGCTTGTAGAGGACTTGTTTCTAGATCTCTTTGAATTCTCAAGAGCACAAAAATCTGTTCAAAGAGATCTAGAAACCAGGGGCAGGAGACCGCCTACGAGGCTAATATAATCAAATCGTTTGCGTCTCCTTCCACCATCAGGGAGTGTGCGAACTTGGTGGAGAACAGTAGTTGTCCCAACAAAGCGGTGACCTACACACCCTCGTTGAGTATGTGACCCTAATGCAGCCCAGATAAAAGAGTAAACAGTCACCCCCACTTCTATAGATACCACTGACTTCCCACAAACAAGGCTTGCCAAGTGAGAAACCATCAAGTTTACGTGATGGATGTGGAAAATGTCATCTCCCCAGCACTCTGCATTGTACTCCAGTTTTGGACAAAGTCCAAGCATTACCAGCCTACAAGTTCCTTACTATGGTGCACCCAAAATAACACAGTGGATCTGATTGTTTTTAAAACTTCCAGCGCATCTTCCTTGGCATCAGAATCAGATATTTGAGAGTTTCATTCAATCCATGATGACCAAAGCATAGCCAAAATGATAGCATGCCAAAGAACAACCAGGCCACAAGGAAAGGAGGGGGTCAAAAATAATTGTTGGGCACTTTGGGGCCACACCAACTTCCTCCCAAAGGTACCAAGCCCAAACAAATAGCATAAAACTAGATATCGCAGGTAGATTACCAAGCCTTAGACTAGACTCATTCAGCTTCTCACTCGAGAAAGCCACTCTATTGCCTTCCCAAGGACAGTCCAATAAACACGTGCAAAGCATCATATTCTACCTAAAAAACGCTTCTCAAAGTCTAGAAGTGCCATTGACAAGAGCATTGGTTATTTTCACATTAACAAGCTTGGAATTCTCTTCAGCCACTTTAGTCCACTCAAACACTCCCTTCCTCATAAGGTAAGTTATCGTGCAATAACAATACTAAAATTCTCGCTAAATTGCCTATTGGAAGTGGCCAAACATGGAAACTCCTCACCTCCCCTACAGTTTTCACTGTTGGCCAGTCCACAATTAGTTGTACCTCCACTTGATCGACCTTAACTTCTTCAGTTGAGACTACATATCCCAGAAACACGAAGCTAACACTTCTTCAAATTCACGTACAAGTTCCTCTAACACTTACCTCAAATGTCCTGCACACTCATAAAGGTAATTGGACATTGGACAAGCCGGTATCACCAGCCATTCATACGAACCTCCTCGGTTTTAAAAGCCGTCTTCCACTTATCTCCAGGAAATTCAAATTCAAGGTACCCACTATTCAAATCCTTGAAAAAGATTCAGCAAAAGACAAACAAATTGGAATATTTTAGACCTCAATAACATACCAAGAATATCAAGAAACAGGTACTTTACCATCATCTTATAGATAGCCATACTTTCTATGCACATCCACCAAGAACCATCCTTCGTAGGTGTCAATAGGGCAAGCACTTACTCACCTCAATAACCTGCCTATGCAAATCCTCATGTTCTTTTGCTCTCATATGACAGTGAGGCAAGTTTGGAAGAGTGGCACCAAGGATCAAATCTGTACAATGTGAAACATCACTCATGGGGGTAAACCACTTGGTATTTCCTCGGGCATAAAATCCACAACTTCTTCAACCAGTGGTGTAACAGCAGTACGAGTTAGAACTAAAACATTCTCTTTTTACTACCAGTGCATGCATATCCCTTGTTCATGGCTTTCCTCAAGAAACCGATTTAAAGATCCCCTTCTCAGATTCAGGCTGATGACCGTCCTCCAACAGTAGCAAAGTAATTTTATCCTCATTGTTTGTAAAAGTTTACGTATTGTTTCTCCCATGATGTATATAGCACAACAATCATACTACCATTTGCGATACAATAATATATGGCATGCATCCATAAGCTACACCCCATACCAAACAGACTCCTCATATTTTTTCCAATAGTTAAATTAACTAAACCCCATACCAAACAGACTTCTCACACTTTTGTTTGAACTTGTCCACCATCTCTTGCAACATCATGTTACTGCATCTCCACGATAAATGATAATCATGCAAACCTTGCCCTAGGTTGTGCATCTGGTGCAAAGACTGCAGCTGGGGTTGTTCCACCACCTTCGAGGCTGACAATAGTTGCCTGATCACGAAGAATTCACCCTCCTTGGGGTTGATCATCAGGTTCTTCATCATAAACAGGTCCCATCTCAATATATCTTTTATAATCCTCGTCCCCATCATAAAGATGTGTCGCAGCCAGCCTCTTAGGGCATTGAAAAGAGATCAAGGCTCACCACATGCTTTGGACCTTTTTATTGATTTGAAGAGGCAAGCCCACCACCAGGCTCTTTCCTTCCTTTGCTCCATCTCTGGGTCGAGGGCTCGGGTAAGCTACATCTCGTTGTCTCTAACTAGCAGGGCACCCTTTGAAGATAGAAAAAGATCCCCAATCATAGAGCAATCTAAAAAGCTCCCCTTCAACTTTGTTTTCGACGGTAGGCCTTGTAAAGGCCGAAAATTAGGTGTAAAATAAACTCATCCTGGATCTGAATTTGCCAGTCACTTACATTATGAGGAAAGAGTCGATCATCATTCTCATGAATCTCATTACATCACAGCAATAAATAAAGATTATCAATACATTCTTGCACGCTCTACTCTTTTTGTCGCGGATGATGAAACCTCTTATATAAGTCCGGGGTATAGATTGGACAAACCCCTTCAAGCATGAGTAAATCTTCCTCCAAGTCATGATCTTGTTGTTCCCTTTTCAAACTCAATGTATCTGTACCTGTTGCCACCAGATTAGGGTGTGGTCCACAATTGCATAGCCACAAAGTTTACCTGCTTTCTTCTGATGATTCTTACAAAAGGTTCCATTACTAGTAATTCAATCCAAGAAATCACCAGGTAGCAAACGTCCACTAACTTCAAGCACATCAAAACAAACATTGTTCAAAAATTCAACAGCCCGGTTGATTAGGCAAACTGCCAAGATGGTTTAGGAGGACCTTCGAACCGCATGGGGCTAAGCAGGCGCCTTAATTGGGCATGGGACTAGGCTCTTATCTAGGTGATCGATGCCCTGGCTAGGGCATCCACCTGAACCCAGGCACCTAGGCAGCGATTCAACAACCTTTGTCCAAAGGCTAATTAAGGCCCTTGACCAAGGACAGGAGAAGACTTTCTGACCTTATAAGGAGAAAAGGGTCTTGCAAGCAATTTGGCAGCCGAAAACCATATTAAACCCCTTATTGAGTGAGAAAAAGTTGCCCAAAACTGAGACTTCGAAAAAAATTTAAAGATTCAAAAAGAATTAGTTTTTGATTACTCATTAAATTGAAAAACAATCAATCTGATACTTTTTGCGATTTGAAGGGGTCAAGAAAAAGGTCTTTGGCAACCAACGGTCACCGATTGAAACCACTATCAATATGATATTGAAAGGTCATATACATAAATTTTGGGTTTGGGGTTTGGTGATTTTTGTGAATATTTCTGATTTGTTTTTTTTCTTTTTTTATATTTGGTTGTTGTTCCTCTTTCTTTTTCTTTTTTAATGTTTGGATTTTGGAATTTTAGACAACATTCAAGAATGGTTTACAGTTCGAGTTTATTGGCATTTATTAAGACTTGTAAACCAATCTTAACAGAATGTATCAAACTCAAACCAAATGGATTTTTTTTCCAACTTGGTCCTAGAATTGTCCTTTGATTGAAAAGCAACAATGTGATTTTTCTTTTGCCCTAGAGAGAACTTGACCTGAAGCCAAGTGCATGAGGCTGCTTGAAGATAATTGAGCCCCATGCTGACAACTAAAGCTCAACTTCGACGGCTGCTCCCTAGGCAACCCGGGGCTCTGGAATAGAAAACATCTTCAGATCTTATGACGGCAACACTTTGTTATTCTACTCCCACCCAATAGGCGTAGCAAACTCGACTCTTGCTGAGGCCCTAGCTCTGTTTGAGGGCCTTCGCAAGTTTAACCCTTCTTGGAGTTCTATGCTTACCATGGAAGGAGACTCAAGGAACGTCATTTCATGGCTTCCAATCCCTCCTCTTGCCTGTGGAGACTCGACCATATTTTTGAGGAGATTGCCCAAGTCTCCAGGAATCTCCACATATCATGGAAGCACATATTCAGGGAATCCAACTTCACCGCAGATGCGCTGGCCTTGCCTAGATGTTTTCAGTGTAGTTTTTTATATTGCGGTTCTTGTAATTCATTCTTTGCCCCTCAAGGCAGTTTTGCATAGAAACCCTTTGGCGGGGAGCAATTTTGTAAAGTTCGATATACTTAATACAAGTAAACATTCTCAAAAAAAACTAGATCTCAATCTTGAAGGAAGAGATTAAAGAGAGCAATGGGGGAGGATGAAGACGAAGACTCAGAGGAGACCAGGGAAGATGAAGAATATGTGGAGAAAGGGAATGACTCCGACGATCATGGCATCCTCAGATACAGATGCATCTGATTTCTAGAGTTTGCGATAATGTAGGTAGTGATAATTAAATTCAAATAACAAGTTCAGTTCATCAGATCTGTCGAACTGTTTAGAATTTTGAGTTTTGTTTAATTAAGATTTTAAGTCTTTTGAGAATTGACTCTTGTAAGTTGTGACTTAGTGTTTAATATAGTGATGAAATGATGAAGTAGATTGTTTACAATGGGCTTCAGGCATATTCATATTGGCATGTAATGACAGATCATCTACATGTAATAGTTTATGTGACTCTGTTGTGGCATAATGGATGAATTTCAGGCAACCTTCAATATTTCATAGTTTTAGTATTTCAATTTCAATCTCCAACTCTAGCGCGTATGTGTTTCAAATAGCACAACAAAATAACACACTAATAAGCTGAGACACCATTAAAAAAAACAAATTTTCGGTAAGTTCAATTAGGGGAGTTTGGTATCCAACCCAACCCCCAAACACCATACTCTGGGCATCAAACCAACTGGTCCTCAGGCATGGAAAAACTCTTTCCCTTGCTTATGAAACGGGTTCATCTCCTCCACAGTACCGGATCAAACACTATCATGAACTGAAACTTGTTTAGAGCACGTGTGCACACATCTAATTATGAGTTATAGTACTATGACTGAATCAACTAAAAAACCCATTCAGCAGAAAGAGTGAGAGATCTCATCATTTTCTTTTGAAGTTACAGAGACACTGACCATAAGCTAATTCTTGATCCTCATGAGTCGCTTCTGACATATCCGTATCTCCCATAGATGCAGTACCCGACTGACTAGCTCTAGGATCATCCATGGACATTGCAAGTGCCTGTTCTAACAATGCAGTCTCATCATCCTGTCAAACTCAAACAACAAACAGAACACTATAAGGATCCATTCATTCAAGGAAAATGCTTATAAAAGGGTGAGAAGAAAAAACAACATTTATGAAACTCAGGAACTAGTTAAGGTAAAGAAACTAAACAAGAAATATAGAGATGCATCTCAATGAGAAAATGCTTAATTGAGAAAAAAAAATTCCATGAAACTATATTAGCAACGAATAATTTATAATTACATTTAAAGATGAAGGTTATCTTCCTTCCCAACAATTAGTGAATTTTTTTGTTTTTGTGATAAGGTGAAATTAGTGACTATCACCTATCATCAACACAGCAAGCTTGGAAATAAGTATGTAACTCAAGAACAAGTTTCAATTCCTACAACCAGCTACACACCACGTTTTGCAATAATTATCTACAAGAAGTGCAAGGATTTATCAGTCCAATCTAGAAAACAAAAGGTAACCATATCAAGCCAAAGCCAAGTCAGGGTAGCCACCTTCCATAGAAACTAAATCCAGATTCCACGCTAGACTTAGACAAACAAAATAATATAATATAGTTTATATATTAAAAAAACTTGAATAGGTATAAAGTATGCTAAGATCGCATCTGAGGAAGGCACAGAATCCTTTATTTGCCCCCTATGGTTGAGTTTGAAGACCAGTGCATCACAATTCAACTTCTACAAACAAGTGGCTATAGAACATAGTTGATACGATCTCCAAACCTAGGTGGCTTTATAATATTGCACCAGCGCTGCAAGAAAGGGATCTTCAAGGGATCTCGATTTTTAAAGTTAGGATCTCGATCCCCACGGTGAGCGATAACAATCTCCATCTTAAAGACCAAGATAACAGCCATATTGACGAATTTCTTTGCCTATAGCCAACTAGCAATGCAACTATACTTTTAGTTGCATTGCTTACTGATTATAAATCATAGTTAAGGGAACCTTGTGGGTAGGGTGACGATCCCGCTCCAGAACCTCGATCCCACGATTCTTGCAAGGGATCTTGTAGAGACCCTAGTTTTCTGATTTTGGGATCTCGCTTCCAAAAAAAGGGGAACACGTTCCATCCATCAGTGGAATCCAGTTCTGTTTCAAAATAGATCCCCACTCCCATCAACCATGGGCCAAGGTTTTGGTTCATTAAAATCTTGGGTTCCATGTTTGTGGGACCTACTTTTATTAACGGATTATACAAGGTTAGAGATTGCCAGTGTTCCAAGTTCCCATTATTTAGGAAACATAAGTTCCATGATGATAAAATCCAGTCCCTTTTTTCACATGGCACAAAGTTTCATTATCCTAGATTCTTAATTTGAACTAGGTATAGTCCAGGGTGACCCATTGTTTATTAAGTTTTATTGTGTAAGACATCCCTCTTAGTTGTGAGAATATATATTTCATTTAAAATCTCATATTTATGATGTGATATTCTTTTAGATTCTTAAATCACAATGATGAATCCTCTTAGTTGTGAAATGAGAATATATGCTTTCATTTCAAGCTTTAAAAAAGCTTCTTTTACATGAGAGAGAGAGAGTAGTTCATCTTGTCCTCTTGCCCATTCGGAGACTCATCCTTTGAGAAACAATGGAAGCAAAGGAGACTAAATTTGAAGAAGATGACCCCTGAGTGATAGGATTCTTGGTTGCTGGGGCCAACCAGCTGAGGACCTTGATTCCTACACTTTAAGAATCTCGATATTAGAACAAGAGGAACCCCGTTATATAATATACTTAAACCTCTATTCCTTAACAATGGGAACTCATACTAGCTCTATTTGACAACCTCATTTTTATGTATAGTGGAGCATAGATTCGTACTAGTAAAAACATCGAATCCATTGACATGGGATCTCGCTCCCACAAACCTAAGGATCTCGTTCCTTGTCTTGTTCATTGCCTGGACACGATCCAAACCCCAAGAAGCTTCCACTATAGGGCGGTTCGACGAATCCCAAACCAATCCCGCTCCCGCTCCAGTTCCCGTCTCCAACAACTATGCTATAAATTAAGAGATCCCTACTTCAAAAGTATATTCTATTCCTAGACATATATACTCTTAAGGTTGGGAGCAAGATCCCCAAAAGGCTAGGATTGAGATCCCAAAGAGTCAGGATTGAACTTGATAGCTAACATAGGGGTTGTACAGATGCCACTCCCAAATGCCACTCCCAACCATGGGTATCTTCCAACCTGTCAGGATTCTACACTCCCAATCCTGATCCCATTCCCGATTCTGCTCCCAATCTCAACACCTATGCTATAGAGAAAGCTGCTATCGTATACAATGAAAGTAGAACAAGACGATAAATGTCAAAGACTGAAACAAATAAGTCCAAATAACCAAGCTCAAGGGAAAGTGGATTTCACCAAACAATCAGTGCTTTTCCAATCACCATTTGCTCTAAGCTTATGGCTTGCCAATTTGACTTCTATTTTCCTAATGCTGTCCAAAATGTTGCATAAGAAAACTGAAATCCTCCATAGAATATTCCGTTTTCCACCAAACTACCACAAACATCAAGTGAGTTGTCATTCATTAAAAGAAGATAAAAGCGAGCATTGTCTAAGAAAATAAAATCCCTATATCAACAAAGCAACTGCTATTTTCACGTGCGAAGCGTGCCGGACACGCATAATGAAGAACAAGCCCTGTCAATGCACTGTGGAGGACAAGTACTGTCAATCATTCTTCTATTTTGCTTTTGATAACTACACTCTTATTATAAATACACAACGAAAACAAACTAGACCAGAGGTTCCTCTTCAATTGTCATCAGAATTAAGAATAAAATAGCTGAAGGGTGTAAGCTGCAAGTTCCATGCAGTGAAGATGATGCCATTCACCCTATGACACATGCATAAATTTATGATCTGCTTTTACATTCATTTGTCCACCCTCCTAGCCACTTGTGAGCCAAGCCAAGCATTTACTGCTTGGAGATCCATAACTCAACCAGGGAGAAAAGACACATATTCACATATTATATTCATTCACAACCATTCATTTTGAGAACTGCCAACTACAGAACTTCCCCAGAACGGACTTAGAAGCCAGATCCATACTGAGAAAACTAGCACGTTCTACAGTGACCTTGTCAGAACTAGCAATGCAAATTAAGTCAACCATATCAGCAACAAAGTGAGCATCTGCTCATCTTGAAAATGCTCTTTAGAATCTCATCTTTAAAAACTTACTTTTCAAGGTAAGCCTGGTAAGCCACCAATGAGGCACCTGCCCAAATCCGAACAGCTTAAATTACATCACCCAAATTGCAACAAGGATTGGTATTCTCTAAGGTTCTAGCATGCAGATTAGGGAATTGCATAAGGAGTTAAGGACCTCAAACTGTAGACCTTCCTTTGGAAAAAGCACGGATACTATGGAGTACCTTATCCATTCCTATTACCACCAACAATTTTCATAGCCACGATAGGATTTTGCTTACCACAACTCATTGGCCCCTACATAAGGTATCATCATAACAAATGGAATAAAAATTGGCACCTCTGTCCCTAATTCAGTAACACACTAAGGTCGACACTAGATAGCTCTGTCCAGATGACCAGAAAGAGCATTCCACCCCACAGTTTTTAAATGTCCATGAAATAATGAAAATTAATCTAGCATGGCACAAGGTACTCCTGAGATTTCTGCCTCATCTCCTTGAGAGGCGCACATGCTTCTAGGCTAAGTCATGGGATCATTAATTGAGTTGTCTAGCAGCCTCTAATAAAATAGGATGCCAGTGGTGTGATTATTGTTTTTCTACCTATGTTGACCAGCTGAAGAAGTGAAGAAGAATCAGTGTGAACACAAGAAATATTGTTTTTCTACTTATGTTGACCAACTGAAGAAGTGAAGAAGAAACTGTACGAACATAAGAAATATTTTAATTCCCACATTCTGGATTGTACAGTTGGTCAGAACATGTAAACTTAATCCTAGGAATGCATATGGATTCAAGATTGGAAAGTGAGACATAACACATTGAATTTCTTTATTTAAAAAAAAAAATCATCTTTATAAACCTGACCCAATACACCCAACCATGTATTACCTGATGATAAGAAGAAAAGCTCATTCCAATAAACAAAGAGGTACCATGCGAGAATTATTACCTTGTAAGGAAATATAGACCATGTAGGATGGTAAAATTTCCAACTTAATGACAATGATGATATGAACGCATTAAAAGAAAGAGGAACTAGATGCACTCTACCAATAGAGATCTTCAAGCTTCCATTTCGATAAAACAAACCTCAAAGTCAAAAATATCGAGTACAGTAACTGAAAAACAAGATCATACCATGGTATCAGGTCCTTTTGCATCAGTCCCAGGATCCAAAACATTAGTGGGCTCAGCCATGGTGGCATCACGAGAGCTCGAAGACTGCTCACCCCCTTCTTTTTCTTGTCTAGCAGCATCCTCTGCAGCTCGTTTTGCAGCAGCCTCTTGTCTTGCCCTCTCCTCTTCCATTGAAACACGGAGAGCAAGGGCCAGCTCTGGGTCTATGTTAGGATCCACCCCAAAATCAAATGAACCGCCACCAGCAGCTGCCGCTGCTGCAGATGCTGCAAAAGCGCTTCCACCTTCTCCATCCCCGGTGAACACTGGTGTGCTGCAACCAAAGTGGTGTCCAAAACAGTCAAGCAACCAATCAGTACAAAACTCCAAAGGATCAAAATTGACAATCTGGTCTTCTTCATTTACCTCAAAAGAACATCTGAGAGAGCACTAGGACCAGAAGGAACATGAACAATGTGACTGCTGTCATTGTTGTTCACAGCAGTAAGAAGAGCCTTGAGCTTTTCCGGCTTTCCATCATCCTCCTCACCAAAATCAATAATGTCAAGGGCCACGCTGTTCTTTTTTAACTTCTTTCCAATTATCTCCAATACCTTCTTGTCATACTTGACAGGACTGAAATGCAAGGCGGCATATAATCATCAAATTAATAGCTTTAGCGAGTATTTAACACAGCAAAAGAATTAACTAACACTCGAAAAGAACTACCTTCCAGCAAATACAATAATTCTTTGCTGCTGCTTTTTGTTCTGTCGATGCTTGAGTGCTAGCTGAGCTACTTGAATGCCAGCTGTCAAATTCATCTCACCACCAATTTCAAGACCTGCAAAAAGGAAACTACTAAACATACTCTGATTTTTTTTCCTTATAGCTAATCCACTTCCTTTAACTGGCCACCTACATATAAATTCAATTATAAGAAAAATAAAAAAATAAAAAAAATAATCAAAACAGACTAAGAGTCCGGCGGCATATCAGGCCTTAAGGAAAATTAAATTTCTCAAACCCAATCCCACCAAGCCTAAGAAATAACAAGATGTCCACACACTCGGACTCTCCCAAGGGCCATAAACTCATAAGAACTAATACCATGTATGACATCCCTGAATTATTCCAAGATTAAACAGATCATATGGAATAACTTGAAGCTGACAAATGTAGAGTAGGAATAAAAAGAATGTAAGAGGAACCATCCCCTCAGACACAGATGGAAGAAACAAGTGATCATAATTTAAGTCGGTGGGGATGATAGCACAGGTGAAATAAGGAGCAAGAAGGAGAATATTCCAGGCCAGTGCAGAATTTGGATACATGAAAGTTTTCTCAAAGTGTGGGAAAGATATTTCAGTTAGAATGAAGGGCGACCTGCATTTTAAGGACCCAGAAATGCAAGACAGGGGAAGTCCCGGAAGTGTAAGAGAAATTAAGCAGGTTGAGACAAGGATATTAAAAGTCTCGTGGCTGGCAAGAAGAACAATGAGTGAGTGCTGACTGTTAAATGTCATGCAGGAGGAAAGAAGAGTTAAATTGCAAGCCATGAAAAAGAGTGGTGAGTTTTCAATGATATATCCAATCACCATAAGAAGTAGCTTACTGAATTAGTTGCGACACGGATGGGAATACATGCTACAAAAGAACAGGCCAGGTCTTATACATCAACCGTCTACTCTATATCCTTGTACGAGTCCACAATCACTACACGAGATGAACCAGGGTTTGGTGAATCGAAGTTGGCCTTAGGTGTAATAGGACTCCCAGTTACTGTGCACAATCATATACTGAGGTGCTCCCCGCCCGTTGTTGGAACGACACGAGCCAGGCCTCGATTCAGAAAGATGAAGGGATAGAGGTGACTAAATCCCCATCTCATTGGGGGCGGAAAACGAATCGACATCTCGATGTGATACAGCCCTTTCTCTTTTAGTTGGGAAAGAACGACGAAGTCCATCCGAACCGTCCAATGAATAAGAGGAGAGCAAAGCGCCAATGGCGCGTGAAGCGCATGCGAAACGGGCATGGAGAAAAGAAGTGCGGAGGAGAAGCAGCCGAGCTCATTCCCTTCGCTTCCAGGGCCTAAAGCAGTGCAGTGTTTGCTGGCCAAATCAAGGATTTGGGGCTTCTTGAATATTTCTATAAGATATATAGATCCATAGTAATCTATATGAATAGAAAGATAGATCCATCTATCTATCCTATTTCTATTTATATATATATATAGAAATCATAGATTGAATTCAACGTTTGATTCTGGTAAAGCTAAGGGGGGCAAAAATCCGTCTTCCTTATCCCCAGCCCACGCTAACGGGGCCTTATTTTTTAAGGGTTTTGGGAAGAGAGTGGAACCTCAAAAAGCACTA